ATTAAGAATAAATTAAAAAATCTAAAAAAAAAATTAAAATTTAATTAATCTGAGTCATTCATTTAATTAAAAAAAAATTTAACCATCACTTTTTCTATCCATTATAAGTCTAATTCTCTTTAACTCTTATTAATATAGTTTTTTTTTTGAAAGGCTCTTATTAATATAGTATTTTCCCTTTTTTTTTTTACCTCCTCATTCTTACTTTTTGTTATCTGTAAGTTGCAAATTGCAATTAATATGTGCTTTTGAGCCGAAAGCTGCCCTTCTTTGACAAGAATAACTTTTGATTTTTTTTTTTTTTTTTTTTTTTTTTTACTAACATATGATTTTTTAAACTCTTACCCTAACATGTAATTTCTCTCATTCTCTTATAAACTATTTTAATCGAACGATAAAATTCTATACGAGTAAATTATTTAGCAGTGATACGATAAAATTTAAACAGATAACTAATTGTAAGTCCTGTATATAAAAATAAGAATAACTAATAATAAAATTGTTGTATAAGTCTTGTGGCAAACAAATAAGAATAAGTCTTGTATAAGATTGTCCAATGTAAGATGTGCAATACTTTTTAGTTAAAATGTAATACGTTTTATAATTTTATAAAAAAAAAGTATTAAATTTTATTTAAAAAGTATCATACGTCTCACGTGAGACGGTGTCACACAAAACTTACTAACAAATAAAAGTTAAGAATACATGTAATGATACAATTTTTTTTTTTTTTAAGTAACTAAATATCACAATGTCACAATAATAAATGACTGAAAATGAAATTGTTACGAGCGAGTAGGAATCATTCTATGCATGTTACTCTTTTCAAACATTGTCCCTTTTTCTTTTTATTTTAATTCTGACCATTTAAAAATTTCAGAATGTCCAACACTAATTTCATTCATTTCACATTGGCTTTCTAGCCCTTTGCTTGCGGGTCAACTTTAGTAAAATATATACTCCTAAAAGAATGTCCTAATCTACTAGATTTTGTGCTTTTGTGCCGAACTATTGTACTAAATAAATATAATATGATTGCACTGTACGTTTTTAGAATTTGTAACATTTTTTTAGTCTATTTCTTGGGACTAATTTAAGGAGCAATAATAATGTTAGTTTTAGACCGGCCAGATTGAATGGTTGTTTTGTTGTATCTATCATTTCTGCTAGATTATAAAGTAAAGGCTTTAACCTAACAATTCTTGAACATAAATTATGTTTCTAAGTACATGTACAAGAATTGAATTGATCATAATTCTTTATCAATTTTAGAGAAGAATTATAGTGAAATTTACAAATTGTTCACTATTTGATGATGAATTGATGGATTCAACCTCCGATCCATTACTGTATTTGCTAGCCTTAAGTGATATAAATTATTAGGATAAAGTACTTACATTACGGCAAAAGATATTGACTTTGTTTGGTAAATGATTGTTAGCTGTATTTCTTTTATGAAAAAATTGTTTGGAGTAGCTTTTTAAATTTTAGCATTTTGGAGTTGTAAAAAGCTAATTAACCAAATACTTATATTGATATTTTAACTAAATCGAACAATTAATAGTGGTCAAATAAGTCAAAATTGACCTATAGGCCAATTTTTTACCAAACAGGGCCACAGTTAGTAGCAAATGTTAGCGTTTTGTACAAAGTAGGACTTCAAAGGCTAGCAAAGTACACACCAAAACTATATCTAGCATGTCAGGAAAGACCTCAAAGAGTGACAAAACACCCCCTTATTGATTTTAAGATACCTATGTTCTTAGGAATCAACCAGAAACTTCAGCTGATTAAGTTAGAAAAACCTTATGCCATCTCATTCAATCGTTATACCCTTCACCACGGCGCACATAGCATTGTGCGTCGATTGGTTACGGAGAAATAAAAAAATGGATTCGTATTCACACACTGTTGCAAAAATCGGGCCTAGACGCCGATTAATCGCTCTAGGCGCCCTAGGCGGTCCCCAGGCGCCTAGAGGGCGCCTAGCGATTTTTGCAACCTTGTATTCACATACATAAGAGTTATATAAGAAGAAGAAAAATCTTTGATTTATCTTTGAAAAAGGGGAACTAGACTTCTTTGGAGTAATGAAAATATTAAAATTGCAATACTCGTGGAGAAAGAATCGTAAGAGATGCAAAGAAGAAGCGTCTTTCACCAAATAGTGAAGAGTTTGAACCAAGATTTCCAGATGAGGGGGGTAGGGTATTAGTATATCTAATACATAATTTAAATGTGAGAAATTGTCCTCTAAAAAAGGAAATATTAAATGAATTGATCGTAAATTTTGAGATTTTAATATCTTTTTGTGCTCTAATATGAATCGTAAAGAAAACGGAATTTCCACAATAAAAGCAACCCCCCTCTGATAGCCGTCGCGCCTCCCAATTATAAGTTAGTAGGGAGTTGACTTGATTATGTGTTTTTTTTTAATACAATTATGTGTATTTGTTTATACAATTATGTGTATTTTTTTTATAGAGTTATGTGTATTTGTTTATACAATTATGTGTATTTGTTTATACAATTATGTACTTTCATGTATATAATTATGTGTATTTGTTTATACAATTATGTACATTTTTTAACATGATTTTTTTTTTTAAGAAAAATTAACCGCCAACACTAGGTAGCAAAATTTCAAAAAATAATAATAATATGAAACGACGTCGTTTTGCATCGGGGCGCACACAATGCAGTGCGCACCCTAGTGCACAATATATGCCCATCTCATTCATATCCAATTGGTGAGTAACATATACTTTTAAATATTTGTATCAATCATCACGAAGTGTATAGTAATCAAATTGAAGTTTGATGGCGGATATCCAGGAAATTAAATTCCTTGCAATCCCATGATGATCTGCAATATATCCAAATGGGATACTACATGTCTACACGGAAAAGGTCAACCATTGCAAAAGAACAAAAAAAAAATGTTCAATTCAATTTAAACGGCTACATTTTCTGACACATATAAATGCTATCAAATTGTGTATATATATAGTACCTCACACGTAAAAACTAGCTGGTCTACAATTGACACATAAAAATACTCGATTTCCCTGTCCTGCCTGCGGAATTAAGAATTACAACCTTTTAATAACATGCAAAACAGTGTCATACTTTCTAGATGTATGTGCCGTCTACCATCTCCGTGTTAAGACTATTATTCTTTGTGGGTTACTTTTCATGTTTGATTAGTAAACTATTATACAAGATTCAAATTTGTTCGGTGCATACCCTCAAGTAATAGTTGTGAGTTTTTCTTGTCATAACAAAATAAAAGTTATATTATTATTGATGAGGACATAGAATTCCAGGGGCCATTTTATTGTAAAAGTTAGTATTGATGATGAGGACATGAGACCTTGGAGACCCATTTTATTGGGGAAATGTTAGTTCAAATTAGGTGTCCATTTTTATTGCTAAGGAAAGAATGAGGAAGCAAATTAAACAAAAGAGGTACTGCTAGAAGGTTCAAACCCACAACCTCCAACTTAACAACACAAGCACCAACTACCCAAGCTACTCAGATTTCATATACTAAAAATCATGATGTTCTAGTTAGTTGTGTGAAGATCGATGACATCCCGATAGTGGGAGACACGTGTATGGCCAAGATTGAATCGATGACGTACATTTGTCAATAATCCGCTAGGCCCTCCACACTCTAAATAAACACCATTATTCCCTCCTTACTACATCATCCCTTGATTCACTCAATCCCCTGATCAAGTATAATGAGACAAGGAATATGCTCTAATTAGGGTGGTGTAGATGGTTTCCGTCAAATAAGTTGAACAATACAAACTAGTACAAGTGATAAGTGATGAAAGATGCTCCAAAACACAAGATTGAAGGACAACAATAATATATCCAATTAGCTATGGTAGCCGTAGCTCAACTAGTTTGGCAGTTATAAGTTTCAGAAAGTTGTGTTGACCAGCATTATTCCTCTGGACTAGTTAAGTTTGAGTTTATTTTTAAAAAGCAACCTAATCCTAAATGTGAAAAACTAACTTACAATTCCAATTATATAGGCTAATTGTCTTGCCTTATAATCCTAGCTAACAACTTTCTATTGTGATCCTTGTTAAAGATTATAGTCTATATATCCATTAGAGCAAAGATTAATCATTTGGTACTTTCTCATTCTTTAAATTTTTAAGAAAATGTTTTTAAGAAATATGTTTGATGAAAATAATTGTACTGGAAAAAATTAATTAACATGTTTGATTTGTTTAAACTTCAATTCACTAGGAAAATTTTTATAATCTCTAATATATCATTTTAATATACGAATATTTAAATAAACATAACAATTAATTGGAATTTTAATAAAATTACTTGTAAATTAATAAATCATATTTCAAAAAATTATTGTTTGTAACAAGAATTTTCAAAATAAAAAACAATATGTATGTATAAAAAGATCACAAAGTCATCAAATTAATTAAGTATCCAAAAGTTAAAATAATCAAGTTTTTTATAACATACTCAATATATACACAGACACACAAGTATTCCATCGTTATGTAATGAATCATATTACAAATTAAATTACAAAAATCTTTAACTGCGTACCAGAATGTACATTTTTTTTTAATAAACAATGTGTAATTGTGGGAGAAGACAAATTTCTTATATTTATAAGAAAATTTTAGTTTGATGCCAAAAATGATAAATACGTTAAATAAATTTAATAGATTTTCATTCACCTGGAAAAAAGAATCTTACCAAAATGTGATTCTCATCAACCCGAACTTGAGTACTAAACATAAAAATAATTATTAAAAAAAAAAAAAAAAAAAAAAAAAAAAAAACTCAAACTTTCCTAGGTAGCCATCGACATCCTGCGGTTACGTCAACCACTAGCGGTTTAATATTCTTGTCTTCTAAATTCAATGAAAGTTTCTCGTTTACTCGTCTCCTGGTTCACACGGCACCATAGCCCGGACCTATCTATAATTCCTCGCTATAAATTCCCCCATCTCACCACACACCAACTCGCAGATACACAAACACCACCACTCCGATCCTTACAACAAAACACCCAACAACATCCTCCATCGCCGCAGATTACAACCTTAATTAGCTTGTAGCTACCCAGGCCAAACATGATGTCTCCCTCCAAAACCACTACCACCTTTTTCATCGTAGCGCTCCTCCTCCTCTTCACACTATCCTCTGCTTCTCGCCCTCTCCCCGAGTCTCATGAGGCCACCACCCTCAACAAAACCCAACACCAGGTGTGTATAATGATACTTTCCGTGTTACTAAATTGAAAGATGTGTTCTGTTTCAACTAAACTGATAGTTAAACTACGAGTTTATGCGTGCTTTCGTATTGAACTTTAATTTCATTTTGGTGGTTTGGTACGTGCAGGTGATGATTGAGAAAGAGGAGAGCTGCAAAGGGGTTGGGGAAGAAGAGTGTCTGATGCGGAGGACTCTGGCGGCTCACCTTGACTACATCTACACGCAGAAGGAAAACAAACCTTAAAATTCACGCAGGCCGGCCTGGAGATCATATCATACCTTAACCACTGATTAAGAAACAGTGTTTATTATTTGATCTGTTTCTTAATTATGTGTTTTTTTCTATGAATATGGTGGGGCGTCTGCTATATATATATATATATATCTCAGCTCATGCATATGTGATATGTAACCACTCAGTTAAATTACTACTTATAATCGCCTTGAATGTGTGTTCAAAAGCTTCTGTTTCAGTTTTTGATCGTGCCCAGATTGTACTGGCCTTACGTTAAGTTTGATTCAATTTTCTTATATATATACGAAAAATCGAAATCATTATTTGAGGATGTATGATTGGTAAATCTGGTTGCTATGTAATAGTTAGCTTATATTATATAATAAGTATGGAGAATGTTTATATACCTACTTTCACTTTTTCTTGTGCAATACTATAAAATAAGATAAGATTACAAATAATGTTCAGATGAGCAGAATCATAACTGACTAGCTTAGCTTACGTTTAGTTATTGAACTTGTCAACTCATCTAAATGAACCTCGTAAATGAAAATCTTATCTCATGAACATGTGGTGGCCTGGTCAAGGAATATTGTGTAGAAAAATGTCTTTATCTACAAACTTAATAAATAAATCAATAATGCATGTGGCGATGATAGTAATTAAAATAATACTCCCTCCTTAACATTTTATTTGTCTAGTTCGATTGATAAGACTTGACTGAAGTTATTTTTAATTCAATTTTTTATAATATTAAGTTTTGTATTAATTTACAAAATTTATATATTTAGAATCTATACTAAAAGTACTATTACACACAAAAAAATCAAATTCAAAAATAAATAAAAAAAATACTTAAAAAAAATAAAGAAGAAAGAGTTAATTTGACCAATAAATAGAAAATAAGACAGATAAGATGGACAAGATAAGATAGACAAAGGAAGTATATCAAAGTACAGTGTTAAACTCCAAGTCAAATTTGAAAGTTTAATTTTTAAGTTGATGTAACATGTGATGTACAAGTTATTTAATTTGATGTTAGTTCTGTTGAACTTTTTGTGTTATATATATATATATATATATATATATATATATATATATATATATATATATATATATAGGCGGGTTCAGGTGCGGCAGTGTCTTACGGTGCGATTATTTTTTACGGTGCGGCAACACCAATAGTTCACCAAATATGCACCATCAACGTTAGGAAATACACCACACAAAACAGAGTAAACAGAGCCCTGCATCACCAAACACACACCATTAGGTGTGAGTAAAAACACCATACACTGTTCGGAAATACACTATTGGGGGTGGTGAGTTATATGGTGTTTTTTTTTGAGTCTGTGGTGTATTTTGTGATGTTTTATTACATTTCATTGGGGTGTGTTTTTATTACACTGTTGGTGCATATTGTTAACATTGTTGGTGTATTCTGGAATTTGACCGCACCGCCGCACCGTAAGACCCCGCCGCATATGAGCGCTCTTCTATATATATATATATATATATATATATATATATATATATATATATATATATATATATATATATATATATATATATATATATATATATATATATATATATATATATATATATATATATCATGATTGACAAAGTGCTATCATTTTATCCACCTCTACCCGACATCAAATATTTATCATTTTGTAAATTTTAATTAAAGATTATATTATTATGAGAAGTGTGGAGAATTTTATTTATATTTTTAAAAATAAATTTTCATATAAATTAAAATAAACTTATATTCTAAAAATAATTTATATTGATAAAATATTAATAATAACAATTAAAATTTAAAATGTTTATTTATTCGTATTTATAGTTTTTTAATAATTAAAATATTTAATTTTTACTTTAAAATATAATTATTTAAAATTTTGCTAATGTTTTTTATTTAAATAAACTAGGTCACATATATTTTAAAAAAAAAATTAAAATATGCTAACTGTTACAAAATTTACAAACACAAATAAATTGAAAGTTTAAAATGTTAATCATCATGATTAATTTTTTCTATGAATATAATTTTTTTTTTTAATTTTAGTTCGTTTTAATCTGTATGGAACTTTATTTTTAAATATAAATAAAATTATCTACATCTCTAATAATAAGATAATCTTTAATTAAAATTTGCATAACAATGATTAATTATATTGGATGTTTAGTAGAGGTGGAAAAAATGATAACATTTTAATGAGATAAAGGATTCAAAAATAAAATAAAATAACAGATAATATGATGTAATAGGTAGACATTTGCCACCACAATTTCTCAATTAGCAAAATGGACATATATAAACTAAGAACCCCTATATGGAGTCAAATTACTTATTGTACCGCTAGTATTGACCTGGTTCGTGATAGACGAAAATGTTCTTAGATCATTCTTGGAATCATCGCAACGGAGCACCACTCGATCGGTTCGTCGTAGGTCACCCTGTCGACCTACAGTGCGACGCACACCGCAAGTTGGAAAGTTTAGCTTACACTACAAGTAAAGGAAGCCCACTAACGTATGCAAGTAGGGCGGCGGACAACTTGAAGTAATAACAGCTCTGTTACCTTGGACAGTCAACCTACATGTAGCCGCGGGGACTATTTGACCAAGCCAACAAGAGTGCACCATGTTAGGCCACTTGCATGTGGAGGCATTAAATGTATAGCTGACTTACTTAGTATAAATAGGAGGGTCTTCCCCCTCACTTGTTATATTCAGTAATCTCTAACATCACACCATGATTTACCCTACATTGCAATCTACTTCTCTTGTAACTTGTTACTTGTAATACAACATTTCCTTGGACCGCTCAATCGTTACCCGGTAGACCGACTGACCGACTGACCAACCAATCGAACACCCTCTTTTACTTGTTCACATCATTCATAGCGTAATCGTAACTCCCAGTTCCATTTACGCTATCACATAGCGCAAATTAAAGTGCAGCAGGCAGTACGTTGATTAATTACAGTAAACAGCGCCACTACAAGGAGAGCGACAGGCTTATGGCCGGGTACGGCGTGGTAGTTGGCGGTTGAGCCTGCTGCATATACATATAATATATGCAACATACATTATAAATACATAATACAAGCCGGGGCGGGGTCCAGGGACCAGTAGACCGCCATTCATCGATCAGCAACGCCGTAATATGGCAGACACCCGTAAAGACGGTGGGGAGTTACGGCGGTTTTTATGAACGAACTACTGATCTGAGACGTCGCCGGCCCCATTCGATCGATATTTTCTGGCGCAGCATAATCATACACGTACCCTCGTGATTATTTATTGCATGATGCTTACGCATGAAGCACGTACAGACGTTTTTCACATGACCATATGTATGCACGCCGTAGGTTATCGCCACATATATAGGGCCGCTGTCCTTTCACTGCTTAATTGCGTGCTAAATTAAATTTTGAATATAATTAATTCAATTCCGTCGGAATCGGGATATCTGTATGTATAGTATGTATCACCTTGTGAGGGCCGGCACTCATGTATGCATTTCATCATCTCTATGTCTGCATTTGCTTTTATTAGATATATGTTGGATGGTTTGTTTCTACGAGGGTTGGAGTGGTGTGGCGAATTGAGAATGATTACAAAGAGAATCAAATATTTTCTTGATGCATGCGAAAATAAGTGATTTTTTTTTTTTTTAGTGACAAAGGAAACGGGCAATTACTATTTGAGAGTGTGAGCGGTAATCATTTCTTGTGATGTAAAAGGTTATAAAGTGGTAAATCAGTTTTAGTTGTTCATAACAGACATACTCAAATCAAGAAGGCTACTAGACCGCCTCGTTAGGAGTTGAACTTATATCCTTGTTATTAAATTAATTATCTTATCAATTTAGTTGGGGTACGGTTGTGGCAGGCATAATTTGGTTATATATGTAATATGAGGGAGCTAAAAAGATTTATACTCTCTTGTCACACAACCATAATTAATTTGTTAGACAAAAAAAAAGAAGAAGATGAGTTAGTTATTGGCCACAAATTAAACTTTGGTGGCATTTTCAACATTGCTTCATTCTTGTTATAAGTGCATGACTACCTTTGGTTATTTTGGTGGAACCCCACAAGGATTTGTCACAAAATTTGTAAGTAATCATATCAAAGTTTATGTGTAAAAATATTTATTCACATGACAAACTGTACTCTTTTAGAATGTGCAATTTTTGCTAGCCATATGACAAAACCGATGGGATGTCGTCAATGGATTTTTCACTGATCCCCGAAATGACAAATTAAATGTAGGAAAAATTAAAGTTGTGCACTATAGTGGTAATTTTCATAGTTATGCATCAATACTGAAAATGTTATCAAATTCATGTGATTAGAAGTGAGAAATTAAAAATGTAGCCGTTCGACTAACAATCAATTGACATGTAATAAGTAAAAATAAAATGAGTATACATTCCCTTTTGGTTGAGCTTATCGTATGTAATCTTTCTACACTTGTGAATAGTGGTTGTAAATTTTTTTCATTTGTCAATTTAATTTGATGATTTAAGAGAGAGAGAATCGTACCAATTTATAATTGTCGGCAGTATGCAAAGTAATATTCAATGGATGACTCCAATGTGGTCTACAAATTGAATACGGAAGATCAGATAATGTATATAAATTTCTAGCATGAACTTTTGGTAGTTGGTGGATGTTCAAAATATTAATGTTATTGCAAGTCAAGTTCACGTGCACATATGTGAACTAACATTATTTAACATTCAACAATTAGATTAAGAATGAATTGTGATTCCCCAAGATTTTGTCACCACTAATATAACATAAAGAAATAGATTTTGAGTTTAGATGGACAAAATGTGGGTTGGTGAGTGGAGACTGGATACAATTGGTGGTGGTGCATCGCAGCCTAATTCCTAGACCAGATCAGACATTCTTTTTCTTAAAAGAGGTGACAAAGTGAGTGAAGTATAATTCTTGTGTACTTAAATGTTATGAATTTAATTTACGTAAAAAACTTATTAGTCAAGTCCATTGTGATTTACCTCTTCTGTATAACTAGCGAACTATTATTCAGGAGTAGAATTTTCTCCGTAGTAATCAGAGTTCCACTTCCATACCTTTAATTTGTATATATTATTGTTTATTGTTTATGGCACTATGTTTTTCTTTTGGGAGTAATATTATTGGATTATTATGCAAAAATACATAACTTATGGGGATCCAATTAGGAATATGGGCTTTCTACATCCATGAAGGTTAGCCCAATTCTAGCCATCATTTATTCATCTAGACTCCACCAAACCAGTACTATAACCCAGGTCCCAGGCCTACCAGTCCATCAACATTTCAATCCAAATATGTTACAACAATCTTTTTATTAGACTATTTATTAGACTATCAATCATTATACAGTGAATCATGATTTACATAACCAATGGTTAAAACAACGCCACTTCCTTTAATAAAAAGAAATGTGAGTCATTATGTTTGTTACGTTATGCGGCGCGTTGAGTTTTATTTTTTATTTTGTTTTTGGTGATGTTTTAATGAAATTATATTGTGTATAAAATACAATTGAATAATAAATCTCACATATTGAGTATAAATTGTCAAATGAAATTAAGCTATAGTTGAATTAAAATGATATCATATTGGTGTTGTAATGAAACTACAATGTGTATAAAATAAAATTAAATAATGAGAAAAATTGTTACATACATAGATCATAAGAAATTTGCCTTCTACCATTATTAATGAAAAAAAAAACTCCATGTGGAGGAGTATTCAATTTTTGGGGGAAGAGAATTCAGTATTGTCTTTTTTTTTTTTTTTTCGTATTTATCTTTCTTGAAAACATTGTTCTTCATCTTCTCGCTCACAGGCTCTTTCAAACTCATCAAATTTTCTTTTGCTTGCAAATCAAGATACTAAAAAGAATTAGTTATTAAACCACGTTTTGATAAGCACCATACGTAAATACAGGTTGTTGTAACATAGAGACATCAGCAACCTACGCGACAAATCTCAAATCGAGATTATCCAAAGACCAAAGTTGCTCGGTTGATATTTATGTTGTAAATTGAGAATGAAGATTTATGATTGAGTCTTGAGAGTTGTAGTATTTCACCTAATATAATGATCTTATTCTGAACATTATATACTAATCCTCCTATCTAAGAGGTCATTAAGTTATTATGATTTGTCTTTCTATAATTTTATGAAACAGAAAGCTCTAAGAACCAAAATATTTCGCCTTTTGAGAATGAGATGGATTGAATCGGAAATTACTGGCCCAAACCAGAAGAAAGTCGTCGATCCGATCCAAATTCTCAACCCGACAATTCAGCCCAAAAACACGGATACGAGTATACGACACGACACCAAACATGCACCACGTGCATACCGACACAGATTCTTGCCACGCGGTCCCTTCGCGAAACTGCGAGCCGCCGCAACTAGCCAGCCATATGCCAAATCGTTTCGCCACGTCACATTTAACCCCGCCTGCGTTTGCCACATTTCACGGCGGCTGCATCCCTTCCCACCTATCCTAATCACTCCTGTCCACATATTTGGACATATCCTATGATTAATCATTTAACTTCGGAGTCATTAACAATATCTTAAGATTTAGGTACATGTTTATAATGATTGCTGATGCATATTTACACCAGGATAACTCACTCCATTACTCCACTGACAGATCATTATATAAATATAAAGAATTAATAATGGTTTGACTATAGAATTCTATATATATCTGTTCTGTCGTTCTCTCGGGTTTCCTATTCTCTCTCTCTCTGTCTCTCTGCTAACAAAGAAGTTTCAAGACCCAAACTTAATTAGCTTCTTCTCTGCAAAGCCAAAGCTGCTTTCTTCCCGGCTAGGTAATCATTTCTACGTGAAAAAAATCCCAGTTTTTGTTTGGTTTAATTTATTAATATTCATCCCCCAGAAATAAATTTTTTCTTTGGTTTTTCAAGAAAGTATGAAAGATTTGAATTGGGACGACATTGAAATTTAAGACTGTTATAATAATTAGCTGCTACTTTTGATATCTCTTTTAGCTAAAGCATCCATCTTTCTTTCTCCGATTCAATAGCAAATGATGCCATAATTGTTTCATGCTCCATATATAGCTGCTATGTTCAATTCATTCATATTAATATTTCTGGTTCTGGCCTGGGTTGGATAGCAACATCTGAAGCTCTATAATCTGAGGAAATGGAGATTGGTTACAAGCCGTATGTTGATCCGGCAGTGGAATCACTCATAGAAAGAATCCACCCTCCCAGGTTAATTTTCATTCAAATTAAAAACATCATTAATTAATTTCTGCAACTAATTAAATCAATAATCGTCAACTGTTAGTCATGGTTTTCTGGACTTAATTTCAGGGTTTGCATTGACAATGATACATGCCCAGACTGCACGCTTGTGAAGGTCTCTATCTGTTTCTTTGTTTATGCTTTTCCAAGTTTTTTTTTTTTAAATTGTTTTTTTTCTCTAAGATAATAATACATATGGTCAATATTGGTGGACGGATGACGCCAAAGATCTCTAAGTTAACAGCTCATTTTAGTTTGTATATATGTTTCTGAGTTTTTGCTGAAACTGAAAACAACTAAGCAAGTTGAGGGTGTTTGCATTGTAATAGTGGCACTCTACTGTGCATATATTCATCAACCTTAATTAATATTTGCCAGATGGGAGCTGAGTATGCACCCGTTGTCTTAACCTTGTTGTATTTTATATATATATATATATATATATATATATATATATATATATATATATATATATATATATTATTTATTAATTTTTACTACTTGGTACTTGTTGATTAAGCAATGAGCATTTACCTAGTTCCTGTCCTTTTCTTGGGGGCCCTAGAGTGAATGATTGCATTTCTTATGTGGGGTGTTGAGCATATATATAATATATAAATGTAAATGCATGTATAGTCTCTATTAAATTAATTAAGGGTTAGTTGAGAAGAAACGAGATAGGAAATCATCATTTTCATTTGGGTTGTTTTATGGTGGCAGGTTGACAGTGCAAATAAGCATGGGATATTGCTGGAGATGGTCCAAGTTTTGACAGATCTTGATCTCCTCATTTCCAAGTCTTATATTTGCTCTGATGGTGGTTGGTTAATGGATGGTTGGTGTTAGTTCTCTCTCTTTCTTTTATGTATGAACAAAAGGATTTTTCAAAAACATGAAATACTACTTGTCTAGCTTATCTGTATAACTAGTTTGTGTTTGACAAGGGAAACTCACAGCATTATAGGATAGTCTGCACTGAGTAAACCCTTCTAATTCACCACCCTGACTAACTTGGCCGAAATAATTTTGGGTGGCAGTATTCCACGTGAAGGACAGACTGGGCTGCAAAATTACTGACGAAAGACTTATCCGTTACATTCAACAGGTTCGTATGTTGTTGTCTGTTTTTTTCTGCCATGTCCTAATAAAAAGTAAAAACCTCAGAGAATTACATTGTATGTGATCATATCGAAATGCTTAATTATTTGTGGAACAGTCCATTGGTGAAAGTAAAATGGGGTCGAGGGAGGACCGGGACGGGCCCTGTATCGGCCGAGATGTTAGGCCCTGGCACGTCTTGACAAACCACACGGCCCTGGAAATGACCACAGCAGACCGACCAGGACTCATGTCTGAGATATCAGCCGTGCTTGCAGAGACGGGATGCCACATTTCTGCAGCCGTGGCGTGGACGCACAACGCCCGAGCAGCCTGCATTCTCTACGTGGACGACCACTCCACCGACCCCTCCCAGCTGCCACACCTTCTGTCCCAGCTAGAGAACGTCCTCGACGCCCATCACTGCAGTGGGGGGAGCAGGAGTGTGAGGCTGTCGGAGGCCGGGTCTGGGCAGACGCATACCGAGAGGCGGCTGCACCAGTTGCTAGCCGGGGACAGCCACTACGAGCAATGCTGTTCTGCTCCTGATAGTGGTAATAACGGTGACGATGATGGAAGGTGTTACAGGAAAAGAAGCTGCACCAGTGAAACATACATAAAAATTGAGAACTGTGAAGAGAGAGGCTACTCCATAGTTACCATAAGAAGTGGAGACCGACCCAAGTTGCTGTTTGACACCATCTGTGCTCTAACAGACATGCATTATGTTGTTTTCCATGCTTCCATTAGCTCCCATGACTCCAAATCCTTCCAGGTAAAAGCTCTTATGTTCATAGTTGGGTGACAAAGGAAAACCTAAATCAGTCACTACCAGATGGTGTGTACTGAGTAAACGCTGTCTTATAACCCTAGCTAACAAAGAAAACCAGCTTAGGTTTCTCAGAGCTGGCAAGCTCAACCTAAGAAAACCAATAGACCGCTCATTTTGAGAGTCAAATTTATAACTTTGTAGTTACTAATAAGTCCAACAATCTAACTAACTTAGCTGGAGTTGTCCCTCTCTTATGTTAATAGTCGAATTTATTTTTTAAATATACTTTATAATTGTGTATATGCATGCCTAAAAACATCAGGAATATTATATAAGGCACAAGGATGGATGGACTCTGAATTCCGAAATTGAAAGGCACAGACTGACTCAATGTCTGATTGCAGCAACGGAGAGGAGAATTTCTCATGTAAGTTTCCATTTATTCAACCTTTTAGTTCTATGGTGACTGAATATTAACTATATATTATATCTTCAGGGTTTGAGACTAGACGTTTGCACACAGAACCGATTAGGCCTATTATCAGACATCACAAGGGTGTTCCGTGAGAACGGTCTGTCCATAACCATGGCCGAGATTGGAACCCGAGGCGACAGGGCAGTAGGCACATTCTATTTAAAAGATTCCTCAGGGCAGACTGTCAAACCAGAAACATTAGAATCCCTGAGAAAAGAAATAATCGGCGGTACTGTTCTGGTGGTTCACAATAAGTCATCCGGCAGGCTTAGTCAGACAACCTCGTCCAGTGGTGGAAAACCTGGGTTTTCGCTAGGAGGATTGATATGGGCACAGGTTGAGAAATTCTCCAGCCACTATTTCAGACCCATAAAATACTAAATGCAACATATCGGCTTCTATCTGTAATTAATTAGCGTATATATATCCCATGTAAATAGCTTTACAGCATAGGATAATTATATTTTTAGTACACGTTAAACACGTTTAGAGGTGTAATATTATGTTCAAGTAAAACAGTGGAACTTTTATTAGTGGTCCTGTCTTGTTACATTCTATCATGCGTCGCCATGCAAACATAAAGAAAGTAGTAGTAATTTGGTAAAGGTTATTTAATCATATGGATTATAAATCATCTTAATTCATAATCTCCCCATGTGATTAAATCAGCTTTGCCAACAACTATCATAATAACAAAACATAACCAATCTAACTGCTTGGAAACCTTAAAAAAAAAAAAAAAAAAAACATGATATTTAATATGAACGAAGAGGAAAACCCGCAACCACACTTGCCTATAGGGACGACAGTGTTCCAGGGCTGGGAAGAATGGATGCCCAGTGTGCAAGGGAAGAAGGCGAGAGAGGCCCGAACCCAATCGGGCTAAACGCCCAGAGTTGACTAAACCCGTCACCCGAAAAACCGGGCGATAGAATCGGAGGGATGTCTCGAGCTCCCTCATGTAGCGTTGTTTCGGATCTGATTATCTGGTGTTCACTCAACGCATTATTATTATGACTACATTTTCTGGGCTTGAGATTGAGAGGAGGAGGAGCCACTTCCTGCAAACGCCTAGCTGGGTTGTTGGATTGGAACCCAGGCGCGGTCGTCAACATTTGGACAGTTTCCTTAAACTTCTCAGCTTCCACCTTGTAAATCTTGGGTGGTGTTCGTGGGAATGGAGCTATTGGGAGCTTATTAGTCATGTGTTTCGGAACTCTACCATGGATTGATCTTGAGGATTCATATGAAGAAGGCTGTGGTTTGGTTCCTCCTTTCCCTTTGCCTTCAGGATAATACGAGGAGGAAGAAGAAGATGAAGAAGAAGTAGTAGCATATGAATGTGACTCCATAGTAATTATTAATTAGTTTGTCTTTCACTCTAGGTATTATATAAGATGTATGCACTACTATCTGTTTCTACATATTATATTAATTTAAAGATTGCACGATAAATGGTTATATAAACTTATAAAGTAAAAGGAAGGGAGCTTCTAGGAAATCAGAAGGACAATAATTTAAGTATCTTACATTACGGATATAGTTTAGACTATGATATAATATTACCTAAAATTTCTATGGGTTATGTTATTGTTGTTTGTCCATAACGGCGGCTAAATGCCCCTCTTGCCTCTATATGTATGTGCTGACGTCAATTGCTCATGTTTGACCTTTTGATTTTGTTGCTTCAATTATTTCCTTTGTTGTTTTAATAATCTTCCGTTTCAATTTCTGCACACTTTTAATTAATATCATTATTTTTTCGTTCTGTACTCATGCTGGATTCTAACGGGTTACAAATTTACAACCCACCACACATATACAACTAAAAAAAATAAAAAGATATAATAATTGAACTATATATTTATGTTTTTTATATGTTCAAAAAATAAGAACAAGAAAAAATTATATTAACTCTAATTTTATAATTTTTTTTAATATTTCAACTTAGTACGTTAAAGAATTGAATCAGAATAGCAGTCATATCTACTCGTAGAAGAAGGCACTAACAGTAACCCTTTATTCTTCTAGATACCAATTACTATACCCATTTGAATTGAAGCTTCATTAGGTTCGATCCAATTTCAATGTGTTTATTGAAATCTTATTTCTCCAAGCGTTACTCAATAATATTCTAAAATGAAATAATTATTTGTTTAATACGTACGTAGTGTATCCTGGGCAGAAACATGATTGCTTGTTATCTGTGAACTAGCAGCCAGAGGCTTAATTGACCTTTAATTTGGTGCTGATTGGAGGTTGGACACCAACTATTATGTCTTCAATAGTCTGACTATATCAAATCCTATCTTTTATATATAATAACAAAGAAAGAAGATTACATGTTCCTTTCAGCCGCCTTTCAATAGTAACCTTGATTCATTGGCTGCCACTATTTTAATTTATTTCTTAATTTCTTTTCTTCTTTTAGCTAGTAATATCACATTAGGTTTGGGCCATCAGAGGCTACCAGACCTGGAAGTTTGTTGGCCATGCATTGAGGATTAATAATTTTGTTGATTGGTTTTACATCCAAAGTCAACTCATGTGCGGGATTGATGAGAGCGGAATATATACTCATCACTTGATAAAGGTAAATTGTCATCCCTAAATTTGTTATTATTGTGTTGTTATATATCTTCTTCAAATTCCTATTAATAATGTGAATTCTTCGGCTTATGCATTTTTATCTCATATATATATATATATATATATATATATATATATATATATATATACAACTAACGGTATCGTAGTTTTTGGTTGGATAGAAGGGATTATGATGGAAATGAATTTTAATTCCATGGGAAAGAATAATGTGGAAATAAAATAAGAATTTAAATTCATGTGTTTGGTTTGCAGGAATAGAATTACTTGAAATTTCAATTCCAATGTTTGGTATACATGGAAGTTGAAGGGAATAAGTAGTATAAAGTTCAAAATGCTCATACTTATTATTATTATTTTAAAACACTCATGATTCTTTACAAAGTAATATTTGTTCTATATTATTATTATTATTATTATTATTATTATTATTATTATTATTATTATTATTATTATTATTAGGGAAAATTGCACTTTTCATCCCTAAGTTATATGGTAATTGTAGAATTCGTCCCTAAGTGTTGGTCATGCTCACTTTTTGTCCCTAAGTTATCATTGGCGTTGCACTTTTCGGCCCTGAGTTATAAGGTAATTGTAGGATTCATCTCTAAGTGTTGGTCATGTTCACTTTCCGTCCCTAAGTTATCATTGACGTTGCACTTTTCGTCCCTGAGTTATACTAAAATTACAAATTTCGCCCATAATCACTACTACATAAATGGTATACTACGTCACTTTTTAAATAACCGTTGTCTAATATATTGTGTTATACACTTATACTACGTCACTTAATAGACGACGGTTGTTTAAATAACTACCTATATAGTTGACGACATACACGGCAGTTTTTTAACCACCGTATATAGTTAACATACACGACGATTTCCAAAACCGTCGTAGAAAGTGTATATTTACAATGGCAGTCACTTACACGCGCGACACTTCGAAAACTGTCGTGTATGTGTAAAAAAACCGCTGGTGGTTATTTAAAGTGTATGACGTAAAAAAAATTAATTAAGTTATATACGACGGTTATATAAAAACCCGTTGTCTATTAAATGACGTAGTATAACAAAATATATAAGGCGGTGGTTATTTAAAAAACATCTGTCTATTAAGTGAGTAGTATACCATTTATGTAGTAGTGATTAGGGACGAAAATTGCAATTTTAGTATAACTCAGGGACGAAAAGTGCAACGCAAATGATAACTTAGGGACGCAAAGTGAGCATAAACAACACTTGGGGACAAATTCTACAATTACTCTATAACTCAGGGACGAAAAGTGCAACACCAATGATAACTTAGGGACGAAAATTGAGCATGACCAACACTCAGGGACAAATTCTACAATTATCCTATAACTTAGGGACGAAAAATACAATTTTCCCTTATTATTATTATTATTATTATTATTATTATTATTATTATTATTATTATTATTATTATTATTATTATTAAATGACAAGCTAGCTAAGTATCTCTTGGAACCATATGCATATTCAAGAGAAAAAAAAAAAGAACATATTCAAATACCACTCATTTACCGTATCTCTTGAATTATTGGACATATTGTAATTAATTTTCATGCAACCGATAGGGTTATGTTAGACATCAATTTTATGTTAATTAAAAAAAGATGGATAATTTTATCTCAATGTTATCTTCTTTTTTTTTTTCTCTTCATAAAAATCACGGAATTGAAATACTGGGGGGGGGGGGGGTGTGGGAGCATGAGATTGTAATTTCATGAAAATGAAGGAACTGCAATTCCCTCTAATCAAACGAAGGAATTTACTTAACTTCGAAATTGGGTGGGAATTAAGTGGAAATAGAATTGTAATTCCTTCCAACCAAATGTCCCATAAGAGGCCGTTGAAGGTATGTAAGTGATATTTATTGAATTGAACTCAATGTAACTAACCTCATTCAATTCAAAGGTTTTGTGGTTCGAGAGGTGATGTTTGATAGGAAGTAACTAATTACATAGCGTGGTGTTTGTAAAATGGCTTATCAGTCAAAGTCTAATTTGTTTGACCAATTTTAGCTTGTTTGACTAGTCAAACACTCAAACAACTAATATGAATATATGATAAACAATTTTTTGTTTTAGTTTATGATGCCAATAAGTTGAAAATGAAAAAAATAAAATAAAATTATTTTGAATATTTTATTAATATATCAGTTTATTACATTTTTGTTTTAAAAGTCTAATTATCATTAATAGTTGTTGATTATTGTAGTGTTTATATTTATTTAATTTTTATTTAAATTTACATTTTTAATATTATTAGAGGTTGCATAGCAATGCAATTTGGTCTTTCAATAGCTGTAATGTATAGGATATATATTAATTAACTCCATCAAACCCTAATATATTGTTTTTAAATCCCCCAGATATTTGAAAACCTCAAACTTATTTTATGCAACTTGCTTGCATGAAGTCACATATGTATTTTATTGTGCGAGTATTAATTAATTAGGGTTTGAGGATTTTTAAAATTTTAATCAAGTAGAGAGAAAATATGATTTCCAATAATGGGAATATATTATCTTCTTCTTCTTTGGGATTTTTATACAATTCAAGTCATTTCATACAATTTTTTGTTAATAATAACCGCGTGCCCAAATAATGATAACAACTCAAGACTGATTATATATAAATGTTACATTTCATATTGATAGTGTTTATCAAATATTAACGATAACACTGATGAGCTAAGGATACCTTTTGAGGACCTGCATATGCTTGCAGCTTACCCAAGAATTTATAAGCACAAGTTATTATGTAAATATTTAGACAAAAGCTTAAGATGCGAGTGATCTGAATCATTTTTTTTTACAAACATGTGGATCTTTACTATAAACAAGTTCTGTAGAACCTATAAGGGCCATGCCCAAAGATGTGCACCGAGAATTTTAACAAGGAAAAATGAAAAAGTACCAGTGACGATTTTATAAATAGATATTATATTGTAATATATTGATTAGTACTTAAAATAAACAAAAATTTACATGGATCATTTATGTGAAACAGTTGCAACTTGCAACTAGGCCACATGTTTTGCGTCGTGGATGTTTATGTTGGCACGCACTTCAATAATAATGGACGTTGAATTTCTGGGTGAGCACGTTGCAGTAATGGAGCTGTCTAACTTTCACTAATTTCCAACGCCCCATGCCATGGACCACTTTTTCGTGCAAAAGATAAAAACATAATCGCTAGAAGGAGGGCTTGAACCTCCGACCTTGTGGTTAACAGCCACACGCTCTAACCAACTGAGCTATTCCAGCTTCTTGTTAAATTACTAATCCTAGAAATATATAACGGATATACGGCTGTAAGCTACTAAACGCAGTATCAGGAGACAACTAGAGAGGGATTCGATAAAAACATTTTTTGAGAAATGGTTCAGGTCATTGTTAGAGAAATTCATATAATTGCGCAGCGAAAGCATCAATCACTTTTTTTTAATTTTACGTTTAAAGAGGGAGTTGAATAATTTTACTCTTGAAGTATACTTTAGCAAAAATAAATCCCTAACCGTCTAATTATTCGGTCTCTATTCCGTCCACCGATTAGACACGAAAACTCATAGAGATTTTCACGTGAAAAACTATTTTTCTTACTAAAATCTCTTTCTTCCAATCTCATTTAGAAAAGGGCAAGGCTTGTTTCTATAGCCTGGTTTGGGTCAAAGCAATCATTATTGTGTGGATCATGGTCCACACAAGCAGTCTTGAT